GATCGAGGACGGCAGCATGGCCAAGCACGCGAAGCGGAAGACGTTCCAGTTCCTGCTCCTCGGCCAGGGCGGCAGCGGGAAGACCGCCATGGTGCAGGAGATCGTGCTGCCGGCCATGGACGCGCTGTTCCCTGTGGAAACGGGCAATGCGAAGTCCACGCTGATAGTCTGCGCGAAGTGGTCTCAGGCCGCGAACATCTCCACGGACGCTCACAAGGCCGTCAGTTGCCACCGGGCGGGAGTCATCGGAGTGCAGTCCTTCAGGAACAAAGACATACCCGCGGGGGGCAAGCTGAAAGCGCTGCAGGACACGTGGGAGGCGGTAAGGTGCTTGATCCTGGAGGAGGTGAGCATGATCTCGCCCAACCTGTACAACATGCTGGCGTTCCGGTCCTACCTGGGACGCAAGGCCGAGTGGGGCGCGGAGGAGCGGGAGTACGACCAGGTCGGCGGCGCCTTCGGCCGGATGCCCATCGTGATCCACCTTGGGGACTTCCTGCAGCTGAAGCCGACGGGAGGCAAGGTGTCGCTCATCTCCAGCTTCGAGGAACTGGCGGCGGCGGGCATCAACCTCGCCCCAGAGTGCCAGGCAGTGATGAAGCTCTTCTGCAACACGCCGCTGTGCTTCGAGCTCCAGGCGTCCAACCGCTTCAAGGACCCCAAGCTTCGAGATCTCATGGCGTTCCTGCGCAAACCGGGGAAGCAGGTCCCTCCGGCCATCCGGGCCACGTGGAACGCCATGCAGCTGAAACCCGATGATCGCCGGCTCCGGGAGGAGAGGTTCCAGAACGGCCACATGATCGGGTCCTACTGGGACACCGTGGCGCGGTGGATGAACATGCGTGCTCAGCGGGACGCGGACGTCCTGAAGAAGCCCCTCTACCTCGTGCAGGCCGCCGACAGGTCTGCGCCGACGATGAGCGTCAAGGACGCCGCCAAGATGATGAACAGTGCCAACCCGAAGAACACCGGTGGCATGCACGGGCTGCTCCCGGTGCACGTGGGCATGCGGATCCGGCTCCTGGAAGCGCTCGACCTCAAGAACGGCCTCGTCAAGGATGCCGAGGGGCAGATCGTGCACATCGTCGTGGACCCTCGAGATCGGGACGACGTCGAGAGAGCCGAGAGAGAGGGGGAGAAGAGGATCTACCTGAAGCGCTTGCCGCTGGGGTTCTGGGTGCGCATGGAGAAGTACGCGAGCGCGCCCTTCGTGGACGACCTGCAGCGCCACGACGACAGCCTCACGGGGGACCTCGCGGGCCCGCTGGTGTTCATCGAGCCCCGCGCGTCGGAGCCGTTCACCTTCCGCACCTCCAAGGTCACGCGGACGGGCTTCCCGTTCTCGCACGGCAGGGTCATCACCACGGTGGCGTGCCAGGGGCGCACCATGCGAGAAGGCGACGGGGCGGGGGAATGGCGCTCTGGGAACGGCCAGACCTCCGGGGCGCGAGCAGTCCGCGGCCAGACCTCGGTCCCGCGGACTCTCGCCCTGGGCCGTCAGCTGCCCGGCGCACTGCTCCCTCGGTCGACGTCGCCCAGGCGTGATTCTGGACTGCGGCCGCCACGAAGTCGGGAACGGCAAGAAGGAGGACGACGACTGGTGGCTGGAGCTCTATGTGCTGCTCTCGCGCGCCACGCGCCACGAGGACCTCCTGCTCATGCGGGCGCCGCGCATCGAGTTCTTCCTGGCAGGGCCGCCGGAGGGCTTGCGGAAGCAGCTGGAGCAGTTTGCGGCGCGCACGAAGCGTTGCAGGAGGGAGGCGACGGCCCTCGCCGGGGAGCTCGGCTTCACCGAGTTTATCCGCGAGGCCTGACCTGAGGAGCGTCCCCCCCGAGCCGCGCCTTCTCTCGACTGCCCGACTCTTTGTTTGGCCTCGCGCCGCGGACGACCCGCGCGCGTCGCTGGGACCCTCTCGGGGCGACCTGCGCGCGTCGCGGGAACTCCGTGCTGCGGGGCGCCCGGCGCCTCGTTCGCCCGTCGTCGCTCTGCCCAGCAGTCAGAGCCTTGCCCGCTATCAGCCAGCCAGTTAGCTAGCCAGCTCTCTGCCCCGCGCAGCGGACGACCCGCGCGCGTCGCTGGGACCCCGCCTGGGGCGACCGGCGCGCGTCGCGGGGACTCCGCGCTGCGCTGCGCCCGCGGCCTTTGATTTTTGGAGTGCGCGGGCAAAGAGGGAGGAAAAGGAGGGACGAAAGCGGGCGCGATCCTCGCAAGGGGCGTGCCGACATGGGCGTCGCGGCGTGCGGGCGCTGCCGTCGGGGTTCCCGCGGAAGCTGCCTGCGGCGGCCACGCCCAGAGTCACGAGCGTTCGGACAGGCATGCCCGAACCATTCACATTCATATACATTTACATTGGGCGTGGCCATGATGGCATCCACGCAAATCTACTCACTCCCACGCAGACTCATTCACACTCAGACTCACTCACGGTCTGACTCGCCCGCGTTCAGTCTCTCGTAATTCGACCTGTCGTATTCCTTTGCATTGTGTACCCCGTCACAGTTCGGCACACCCCTTATACGGTTCGTGGCCTCATAGGGAGCGCCACCGAAGAAGATATTCACAATTGCGGTACTCACAACTGCATATGGTTGGGTCCTTCGCCAGGATAATTGAGGGCTGCCTTGGGCTGTCTGGAAGCCTTTTCAGAAGCAAAATCAAAACTGTGTAAGAACAACAGTTATCAAGTCGATGCTGGTGTATGTTTTCACTTTTTGAGGATGTCCCTAGCGAAATCGCTATTTTCGGAAGTCCCCCAATCGTTCTGACAGCCATCTTGACGTGCTTTTTGGCCTCTCATGTCCTCATCTTGAGGCACTTCGAGAACGATACCAAGACGACGTTGAGGACATCTCATTTTGTTGAGAATGTCCCTAGCGAAATGCACATATTTTGCCGTGCTCTTCGTTCTGGTCCGTCGTGCTGTCGCTCGTTTTCTGAGGATGTCCCTAGCGAAATCGCAATTCTTAACATACGAGTTAGTTAAAGACTTCAGTCGTCATTTCATTTGTTCGAGGATGTCCCAAGCGAAACGCAAATTTTCACAGACGGCGAAAGTTCGCTGTCATCAACTGTTCGAGGATGTCTCGAGCGAAACGCTTGTTTTTGTTAAACGCGATGCCGCGAAGATCTCATTTTTGTGAGGATGTCTCACGCGAAATCGCCATCCCGAGGAATCCGCTAAGCCTCCATACGGTGCGGCGCGCCACCCCCTATAGTTAAGAGATCTCTTACTGATATGAGGATCCAGCCAAAACGTCCAGCTCGCTTCTCGTTCCTCGAAGACGCTTCCCGTCATCCGCCGACCCTGTCGGCGTGTGCGAGGGGCTTGGCTGTTCGAGTCGACGTCTCCGTCGGTCGTCGCCTCCGTCGTCCCCTTTCCCTGCAGCTTCCTTCTCAAGCTCGTGAGCGAGAGAAAAATCTAGCAGTGTCGTAATCGAGTCGAAGCCCCTTCCCTTTGATCCCTTCCCCAGGGGGGGGGGTCCCGGGGGGGGTCCCGGGGGGGGTGGGGGGGCAGATTCGTTTTTCCTCGGGCGGCCTAGAAACCTCGAAAACACTCCAAATGAGGTCCGAATGCCCAAGATGGCCCCCGAGACGGCCCAAGAGGGCCCCGAGTCGCCCAAAGATCTGCCGAAAACGCCCAAGACAGCCCCAAGACCGTCCAAGAAGCCTCCAAGACGTCCCAGGCCCCCTCCAAGAGACCCCCAGGAAGCCCCAAGAGGCCCCCACGAGGCTTCCAAGCGGCCCCTAAGACCTTCCCAAGAGGCCCACAAACTACCCCCAAGAGGCCCCCAAGAGCGCTCGTCGTCGTCGTCGTCGTCGTCGTCGTCGCCGTCGTCGCCATTCAGGGTCGGCGGCACCGGCCGTAAGATCTTCGCAATAGGCCAAGAAGGGCTACCTGCAGGGCACTCGATCCAGACGGCAGGCGGGGCAGCAGGGCAAGGCATGACGACGGTGGGACACGCTCTCTGAGGGCCAGCACGTCGAGACGATGCAAGGGTCTGGGGTTGCCAAAGGTGCCCCTGGCCGCCTCAGGTCGGGCACGTCCCCCTACGGACGGATTTTTGAGGAAGAATTGAAAATGCTCCAAGGATACCCCAAAGTAGTCAAAAATAATCAACAAATCGTCGCCGTCCTATTTTTAGACTATTTGTTGATATTCCTCCTGTAGAGGGACAGGCCCGACTGAACCCTGGCCCACGGTACCCCCAGCTTCTCGGCCCATGCTGGAGCCCTCTGGGGCCCTCTTGGCCTCGTGAGGGGGCGCTCCGGAGGCCGCGGGGGCCTCCGTGGCGAGCCTGGGGGCACCCTGGGCCAGGGCTACGTCGGGCACGCTCCTCCACAGGAGGAGTGTTCTAACATGTTCAAGACATAAGATGGGGACGATTGCGGAGAGCATGGTTGCCTCCTGTTTGCATCTGTGCTTTTTGGCTAGTTCTGACTTTTCGTCGGAGCTCCCCCTCTGGGAGGACCCGCGGCACCCCGCGGCACCCGAAGCAGGGGGGCGCACCCCCCGCGGCACCCGAAGCAGGGGGGCGCACCCCCCCGCGGCACCCGAAGCAGGGGGGCGCAGCCACCGTCGCGCCGGAGGGCGGGGCCGCGCCCCGAAGGGGGCAGCGTCAGGTCGGGCACGTCCCCCTCCTGATACACAGGGAGTTTGGTTGAAGAATACTAAATACCCGAAAACATATACCAAAAATGCTGAATAGTACATACTCCAAGAATACTCGAACATAGTGAATGCTGACTAGTACATACTCCAACACTGCCCCCCAAAACAAGTCCAACAACACTACCATACTTACAATACTACAACACTCCAACAATACTCCAAAACTACCCCCCAAAAATTCATAAATAGCAACAAGAATCCCCTGTAGAGGGACGGGCCCGACTTAAGGGCAGCGTCACGAGCGGGCAACGCCACGCAAGACTGCGCCCGACGAGAGGCCGCGCCAGCGACGGCGGGGCTCCGCGCCGCCGCCGGCGCCCGGGGGGGCGCCTCTGCAGCATGGCCAGGAGGCCCGTGTTCTCCAGGTTCCCCCCGTCTCCGAGCTGGTAGGTGAGCGCCTGGGGTTCGGTCGGGCATGCCCCCCTAAAAGCCGAGTGTGGACGGAAAATAAACAATAATCGAAAAATGCACCGTAATGATCAAACATAATTTTTAAAAAATCGTCCCGGGACTATTTTTCACTATTTGGGAATATTCCTCCCGTAGAAGGACGGGCCCGACTGAAGCCTGGGGCCGGGCGCGAACTCCCGGGGGGGGGGGGGGCGAGATGGGGGGGGAGGGGGTGCAGGGTGCCCTTCTGGGGCCGCGGAGGCCACCTCTGGGGCCCTCAAGGGCCCCTTTCTGGGGGGCCCACGGGGTCCCTTCCTGCAGCCCTCGCTGCCGCCCCAGGTGCAGTGGAGGCGCGCCTCAAGGAAACATCTCTACTTGCCATCTGGGCTTCTTCGCTCCGCGGGCTGCGCGGTGACTTCCCGCGGCCGTCGAAGGAGCTGCTACGTAAAGGGTGCTCCGTGGTTTTTAGGCACACCTCGCGCGCGGGTTTGCAGGGCTGGGTCTCTTGCAGGGGCTTCTTGCGACCGCGCCCGCACTGTAACGCCCTCCCCATTACGCGCCCCCCGGCTGGTGGCATCGATTCGGAAGACTGTATCGAGTCGTAGCCTGCGTTGGATCGCGCGGCACCGGCACGGAGTCGGACGTCGAATGGGATCGGCCGCGTCGCTTGCACAACAACGCCACGCAAGCACCAAGCCGCACCCGATCATCGGAATCCCACCAGCCCTTTCGGGCGTGAGTGGTTTAGGGAGTTTCTTCGTCCACCCCCGGATTCTTCCCCTTCGGAGAGGGGTTTACCCCTCCCACTCCCCCTTCCCCTGGACCTAAAGGGGGGGGCGTTCGTGAGGTGTCAGAGTGTCCGGAAATGGCATCGGCGAGGAAGCCAAACTCAGTGATTGAATTTACTAGAACGTGTTGGCCCTATGTTGGCCTCCGGGGGGGGCTTAATTGAGAAGCTCCCCTCCTTTGCTCGATCTCCTTCAAGATGGCCCATCGATGGTCCCAAGGCTCCCAAAGACGCTGCAAGAGGGCCCTAAGAGTTGCCGAAGAGGCCCCAAGAGGTGCCGAGGAGGCCCCAAGAGGCCCCCAAGAGGCTCCCAAGAGAACCCCCAAGAGGCGCCCTAGAGATATCCAAGACGTCCCAAGAGGCCTCAGATGCTTTGGCAACATGTTGGCCTCCCTGGGGGGTACCCTAAGTAAGGAGTCACCCTCCTTGTTCGATCTCTCATGGACCCAAAGTGGCCCCCGAGGCTTCCAAGGGTGCCCCAAGACGGCCCCAAGAGGTGCCCAGGAGGACCAAAGAGGCCCCCATGAGGCCACCAAGATGCCCCCAAAAGGCTCCCCAGATCCCCAGAGACCCCCATGAGGCCCCCAAAGGCCCCCCAGAGGCACCCAAGACGCCCCAAGAGGCATCCAGGACTGCGTAGAGACCCTTGAGAAGCCCCAAGAGAACTCCAGCCGTCTTTCGAACAACATCCGAACAGACTCCGAGAGGCATCCAAGAGGCCTCTGGCCTTTCTACTTGCCCTCCTTCTCCTACTCATTATCCTCCTTGTCCTCATCCGCGTGTTCCTCCTCCTTCCTCGTCCCCCATCTCCCTCCCCCTCTCCCTATTCCTCCTTCTCCTTCTCCTCCTCCTCCTCTTGCTCCTCCTTCTCCTCCTCTCCGCCATCCTCTCTTTCTTGGGGTACGACGTTTGGACCAAGCTTTTATCCCACTGCATTCTACTCTTCATCTCTGATCAGGGCAACTCTTCTAGGCATCGTTTTCGGATGGGCTGGCGGGGTTACGCGAAGAGTCCAGAACATCGGAATCGAATTGGGTCGTGCTGGCCGATATCGATATCGAATCGCATCGATCGGATCGGAATGGGCCCCGACAGGCGGGTACATCCCGCTCCCGCGCGCCCCTCGTCTCTTGAGGGGCGTCCAAGACGGGGGATGTCCAAGAGGGGATGCGAGAAGCATGGCTGGCGGCACGTGCGCGGCCCAGAGGTGGGGCCGGGGACGCATGAAAATAAGAAGAGGCGCGCGCCGTGAAATCTGGGGAGATGTCATGGCCCCAGCCATACCATTCCCGCCCCAGTCATGACCCCCCTTTTGGCCGCCTCCGACCTCTTCCCTCCTGCGCCCCAGCTGGGATCCATGTCGCCGGGCTTCTTGTCGTTCCAGGGGCCACGGTGGTCCGAGCAGGCGGGTGTATGGCCTGCTCCTGAGCTGCGCTCGTAGTGTGGCGGTGCACGATGGAACAGCATACTCTTCACCACCCGAGTGCCAACAGGACTTCATCATCAGCCCTCCCCCCCAAACATGCGACGCCCTGAGTTTTGGGCGTGGCTTAATGGGGGGGTCATAAATGGGGGGGGTCAGAAAAGGTCAGCTTCCGTGCCCCTTTCGGGCCCCTCCAGAGCCCCAGGGGGCTCGTTTAGGTACCGTTTGGGTACCTTTTCGAACCACCCTCGCCGCCCGCCCATTTATGACCCCCCCATTACGCGGCGCCCAAGAGTTTTTCAGGACGGCGTCTCCGGGAGTGCAGACCCTTTCCCCGGGGCCAGTTTCTCACCCCGAGTAGTTTTTTGACGGTCCCGAGGCCCGGCGAGGGCCGCCCAAAGCCGAAGACGGCCAAAAACCAAACATCCCGTCCTGATTTGTTTGACGACGCGCTCACGTCTGGGTCTCGCACCTCTCGCCTCCCCATCTCCCCTCCCCTCCTCTCCTGTCCTCGCCTCTCCTCTCAGCGCTCTCGGCTCGCCCCTAGCCTCTCGTCTCCTCGGGTCTTCCTCGCCGTTGCCCCGCGTTGCGCTCTCCTCCTACCCGAGAAGGCGAGGGGGGGGCGCGACAGAGACCACTACTCGAAATCCCTTGATAATCGACCCCCCCCCAAAAAAGCGGACCCCCCCTTCAACGGCAACAAAATTTTCTGGACCCCCCTGACAACGGGCCGCCTTACTATTCTCGTCCTCCTCGTCTTCGGTTTTAAGAAACCACCCTAAGAAACCGGACCACCCCGCTTCCAAAAAAAAACGCATTGAAAAACCAGACCCTGGGGACGACTATTAGGGGATTTCGAGTATCGAGTGAAACCTGTCAGTGAGCCACTCGTGCGATCGGGTGTGCGCACTCACAGAGAAGAGGTGAACTATCGTTGTCCTCCCTTTCCTCCCAGCTTACGTTGCTCGGACACTGATTCAGTGATCGCTGCGTCTGTGTGGCGTGAGAGCGCCGCGGCACGCCTGCTGCGGCGTGGGGAACTGGTCCGACGTGACGGGCCAGACGCTCGCCTGGCGGCGGCAGGGTGCGCTGGCAGACGGGCACGAGCGCTCCTCCTGCCCTACCTCCTCGACCCTCCTCCGCCCCCCTTGTCCCCGTCCTCCTGCTCCTCCTGTTCCTACTGTTCCTCCTCCCACTTCCCCCCTCCTCATCCTCCTCATCATGCCCCTCCCCCGTCATCCCTCCTTGCTCCTTCCCCTCCTCCTCCTTTTCCTCCTCCTCCCCCTCCCCCTGCCCCTCCTCCTCCTCCTCCTCCTCTTCCTCCTCCTCCTCGTGACCCTCTTCTCTTGGGCAGGCTGTGGGGCTGTAGTGCCAGCAGCGCCCCCTCCTCCTTTCTTCCGCCCGTCGCTTGAGCAGGGACCAGCCGTCCCGGCATTCCCACAATCCTACCACGAAATGTTCTTACAACCCAAAAGTGATCTTGGAACAAAAGCAACACTCTACTAACATAAACTCGATAAGCTAAACCAAAACAGTCTCGACCATAACTGTTATAAAAACATTCCGCGAAGGGTTCTTAGAACATTCTTGGTGGGCACATACGCAGGCCAGGACGCGTCGACACTGCTTGAGACCATCCCCCCGCGCGAATCGCCCAAGGCTCTCTCGCCCCGCTTGCCCTGGACCAAGTCCCCCTCGCGCACTTCGCGGTATAGCCAGGGCGGATTTCAGCTGACCGCCTCACCGATCCTGACCGGACCGATCCTGGGCCCAGCATCAGTGTGCGCGTCCCTGGCCAAGCCAAGCGGTCACGTATACCCTGGTCCTGGGCAAAACGCTCCTCCCAATTCCCCCGCTTCCACCCTTCTCTCCCCCCCGATCAACCTCGCCCTTTTCCCCCTGACCTCCTCCTCCTCCGTCGCCGTTTTGGCTCAAGATGCTTGTTTCCCCACAGAGCAAAACGGATACTGCTAGTCCGCGGCCAGTTCCAGCCAGTAGTTGTTGCCAGGGCCTGATTCGCCCCAGGTCCCTGGGTGCATGCTGCCGCCCGGAGGTGAGCACGCGCGCGACGTGGTTTGTGGATATGTGGCTGGCCTCGCAGTACCTCCTCGGTGCAGGCGGGAGACCATGGCGCCTGGCGGGCGCGCTGAGAACACGCCCGGCTGGCACTGCAAGTTCTGCAAGTATGAGCGCTGGCCCAGGGTCGGGATGACCGTGTTCACCTTCGGGACGAGAGAGAAATGCCACTTCTGCGGGGTGGACAAGCCGGCGGCCTTCATTGCTCGAGCTCGAGGTGACGAGGGCGTCTCACGCCGTCGCCCGCAGGGCGGACCAGGTTCCGCAGGCGCGCTCAGCGATCTACAGGTGGCCCAGGGACCGATGCAGAAGGAGTTGGCTGAGCTGCGGGGGGAGATCGAAGTGCTGCGGGCCGCGAGCGAGGCCAAGGGTCCACTGCCTGAGCTGACGAAAGCCAATGAGGAGGGGGCCGTGGAGGATGCTGGCGAGGTGCAGAAGAAGGCCCTGGCCCAGCTGGACGACGAGCTGCGCGGCCTTCGCGCTATCACGTCGCCGTCGGAGCTGGTCAAGGACGCGATTGGCAAGCTAGAGGAGCAGCGGCGCCAGCTGGGAGGGGAAGCCCGCTCGAAAAACGCCCGTTGTCACCCGTTTGCTGGCGCTGCTGAGCAAGGCTCAAGGCGAAGCAGGACGCGATCGCCAAGCAGGAGGGGACGGTCGCCAAGCTGGCGGCCGAAGCCCAGAAGGCGTCCGAGGACGAGAGGGAGAGGGCCGAGACGCTGCGGGTCAGGGAGCTCGAAGTGGAGGCAAAGATGCGACGGCTCAGCGCCGTGGCCCCCGAGCCGCCAAACGAGAAGGACACGCCTGTGGGCCAGGGCCCCGACATCCACCTCGTGGGCCTGGAGGAGCTGCTCAGGGAGCTTGGCGCCTCGGGCGAAGTCGCGGAGCGAGGCCTCGCCCACCCGAAGCTGGGAGAGAAAGTGCTGCGCCAGCCAGGTACTGCTGAGCGCGCTTGGCCTGCCCCCGAAGGCGCCCCTGGCGAAGCTGGCTCAAAGCCGCCCCGCCCCGAGCGTCTCCAAAGCGCAGCGGACATGGCGCCCGTGGAGATGTTGCGGGCCAGCCTCTCCAACGCGGGCGTCGCAGCACCTGCCGAAGAGGGTGCCAACAGGGCCACGGCGCACAATGCGGCGGCTGCCTCCAGCAAGTGGGCCTACATAACGCACGAAAGCGGGAGGCTTCAAGATGGTGATGATATGCGTGCTGGTCAAGATGACGGAAGTTGCATCGACCAGAAACCATGGGCAGTTCGGGGCCTGCCAATGGTGCGATGACCCCGGTCAATGTTTCACGTGGGCGAAGGCTAACGGAATACCTCGCGGAAGCACCTGAATGCGACGTGTTCGCGGAGGAAGAACACAGGGCTCTCGGCGTCAAGCTGAGCTCGCTGCAGGGCCAGGTGCGTGACCTGGGCTACCGTGGCTTGTGGCCACGGGAGCTGGTGCGCTCGAGGTGCCGGGCCCCTGGCGCGCAATGCGGTCTCGGTCACCGCGCCGCCTTTCGCGCCCTCGCCAATCCTGGAAGAGGCGCGGATGCTGACAGCCCACGCGCACAGGGGAGTGAAGGGCGGCAGGGCCGCGGCAGTGGTGTGCTCGAGGTACGCAGTCGGCATGGATGACGACAACGGCGACGCCATCCACGAGCTGATGTCCTACATGCGCGCGCTCAATGCGCGCGGGCTCGACCGGGTGGCCATAGGCGACTAGATCATGGAGAATGACGAGCTCAAGGGTCCGTGGATCGAGGGGGTGCGAGGCATCCCCACTGCGCCGTCTAAACCGACCTGCTGGCAAGTGGTCGAAGGCCCCACCCTGGACCACGTCATCGCGGCGCCGAACCTGGACCACGGGCTGGGCGAGGCGCATGTCACGACCGGCGCGGCGCTGCACCCGCTACCTTGCCCATGTGGGCATCTCCACGGTGGCCCGCGAGGACTGCGCGCGGGCTGCAGTCGAGCCGCGGGGGGTTGCATAGGCGGCGCCAGTGGGGGCGGCGCCCTCTCCGCGCGAGCGCGCGTGGGAGAAGGCGCCCCAGCTGGTCCACAGCGCGCCCTCCGAGGCCGGCGGCGTGGAGCAGGCGTGGGGCGCAGCGGCCAGCGCGGCGGAGGCCGACCCACGTGACCGCTGGCACCTGGTGGGCGAGGAGAGGAGGCAGCGCGCGGGCCGAGGGTGCGGGCCTGCCTTCAAGCTGGCGCGGCCTAAGTGGCAGCCTTACGCGACCTGGAAGGGGGCGCTCGCATGAGGGCGGCCCGAAGGACAAAGCACACGGATGCCTGCCGCTGGCGTCTCATTAAGCTGCTGGCGGCAGACTGCGCGGGGCCTACCCCGGGCTGTGAGGCTGGCTTCATGGTCACCCTGCACGAGGCGAAAACCAGCTCGAGAGAGCTGGGCGCAGCCGACGTAGTCGCCGACCTGATCAGTGTCTATAAACGGCATGCCCCCAACCATCGATCGCGATCTCCAGTTCGATCTGGCCGCGAGGAGCGGGTCGGACAACCTGTGCGGCACTGTGACGGCGGCTACTTGGACGGGGTGGCCCCTGCGGGCTCGGGAGGAGGCCAACCTGTGCAAGATGCTGGCTTGGGCGACCCAGAGCCGGACCCCTTTCGACGATCGCGACAGGGAGATGGGCGAGGTGGACGGAGAGGTCGACCTGGACAGGGTCATGGGTCGCGTGGAGCATCGCTCGGGCTCTGGCCCGCTTCTCGGGGGGTTTGAGCACGTGCGTGGCCAGCACCTCGGGGGCCCTACTGCAGCGAGGGGGCGCGCGGAGAATGGGTCGAGCTCTGGCCCGCTCCCCGGGGGGGGCTCGGGCATGGGCCTGGCCTGCCCCGTCGGGGGCCCATCGGCGGTGAGCGGGGGCGCGGGCGTCAGATCGCAAAGTCCTGGCGTGCCACTGCGGCTACCAGGCTCGGTCGCCACGGGCGTCTGAGCGCAACCCCCGGCGTGCCATTGCGGCTGCCGGGCTCGACGTCGCCGCGAAGCTCTGTGCTGGGTTCGGGCGTTGCTGAGTGTGGCTCGAACGCTGGCCCGCTCCTCGGGGGGCTCGAATACGGGCCCGGCCCGCTCCTCGGGGGTCCAGCTACAGCGAGGGCGCGCGCTGAGTGCAGCTCGAGCTCTGGCCCGCGCCTCGGGTGGCTCGAGACTGGACCTGGCCCGCGCCTCGGGGGGCCTGCTGAGGTGGCGCCACCTGGCGGGCCTGGCCCGCTCCTCGGGGGCCCTGCTGCGCATTGCCCGAGTGCCGGCCCGCTCTTCGGGGTGATCGGGCAGGGGGCTGGCCCGCAGAGGCGCTCTGGTCCGCTTCTGGGGGGGCGCGCGACGGGGCCCGGCCGGCCCCCCCTGGCCGACCGCGGCCAGGCCGCCGACGCCGGGGTCGACGTGGAGGCCGCGACGCCCGCGGGCCCGCCGAGCGCCGCGAGCCCTCGTCTGGGGGCTGTCGCTGGCGCGAGGCGCTGGGGGCGCGCCGCCACTGGAGGGAGGGGGTAGCGCGGGCGGGGTCCGACCACCGCGAGGGACGACGTGGTGGCCAGGGCTGGGCAAGGGAGCAGCTCGCCGAGCACCCCGAGGCCCACTCCCCGAGGCAGGCGCAGCCTAGCGACCACCCAAAGTTGGTGAGTGACGGACGACCAGGCGTTAATCGGCAAGTCGGCCAGGGCGGCCGCGGCGTGCCCGGGCCCGCTGTCGTCGGCTGGAGATGATGAGGCTCGACGAAATGGAGAGGGCTGCCCCGGCGCGGGCGCGAAGACTGGCCAGGGGCGCGCTTCCTCTCAGGAGCCGCGGCCCAAGTCCAGCGTAGGCGCCCAGGCCAACCTCGAGAAGGTCGTTGAGCTTTTTTCCCGAGACCCGCCGCTACTCCGTCAACGCGGGAAAGTCGAGGCGCGTCAGGAGTCGGCCCCCCGTAGAAGCGGTCCAGTGGTTCGACGGAGGGATGGCGCAGATGGGCCATCGCCAGCGGGGCGCGCAGGTCCGCATGTCCAGCGGATCGCCGACGAGGCCCAACGGCCCACCAAGGGCGACAACAAGGAACGCGAGAATGAGTGGCGAGACTGGGCTGCCAAGAGCATGGGGGGTGGCGCTCGGGCGGCGGACGCTTTCACCAGGTTGCCTGCTGCGGCCGAGGTGAGAGGCGCCACTGCGCGGGGCAGCCCGCGCCAGATGGCGCGCCGCGAGCTCCAGGAATGGACCGAGGTTTGGACGTGCCACGACGAGCCTGCCACGGTGCAACCTCCTGGCTTCGACGGCTGGGATGCACTGCCGAGGGCGGGGGTCGACCACCTCCGCACGGCCGCGCTCCGCTTCAAGAAAAAAAAGGCCGCCGTCGGCCAAGGGGGCATCGCCGCGCGGGCCCTGTGGCAGCGCAGCGGCATGGGCATGTTCGTGCTGTCCGCGATCTTCAGCCAGTGCGAAGAGCTTGGGGGGGGGGTGGCCGACGAGCAGGTTGCACGCGGTGCTGGTGCGACTTCCCGAGGAGAGTAGAGGTTGCAGGCTGATTGCGGTGGCCAATTCATGTCTGCGGCTATGGGCCAAGGCGAGGCCTGCCGTCTCGATAGAATGGATGCCTGACGCTGAGACCCCCGCCCCTCCTCCAGGTGGGCCATCTGGCTGTGCGGATGATTGTGCTGCGTGCGCTCGGGATGCATGCCGGCGAAGAAACGTCGCACTTGTCAATGTCTGTGGCTCCTGCCGTAGCCTCCCCAACCGCGGGGCCCAAGGTGCTGGATGTTGGCCACGAGGGTCTCGGGCAGCTGGCGTCCGACAGCGTCCCTCGACTGGCTTTCTTGCGCCAGCTGCTGAGAATTGAGAATGCTGCGTGGGGGCCCCTGCGCAGTCGCCTAGGACTGCGGGCTCGGGGCGGCGCAGCCAGCGCCATGGCTGCCCTCGCCCTGGTCACCTCCGCGCCGATCGTCGCGATTTGCTAGCCAACGTTCTTGGGTTTGGGCTTTGACCTCCACCAGCTGCTGCTACAGGCCGACAGCCTGCTCGATATTTCTGTTGGGCGCCAGTCTGTTGGTCGAGCTGCGCCGGGTCCCCTCTGGAACACGGGGCTCACATCCCTTCTGTTCTGCACGGTTGAGCTCCTCGACGGCCATGCGCATGAATTTGCGGTTGTCGTCGCGTCGTAGCGCCGCAGGGATTGTTCCGCGCGCATACAGCGCATCACCTCAGTGACGTTGGGTGAGGTGGCTGCGGGCCCCCTGTCACCAGCACCGCCACGCTCAGCACGAGCACTGCGATCGCGAGCGCCACGCGATTGAAGCCTGATGTCGCTGCGACGACCGCCCATGTCATTGCCGCACTTGAGAAAGGTCCACCTCGTCGCCAAGTTGTTCCTGAAACCACGAACTTTGGTGGATTTGCACGTCCGTGGTCTTCTTAAAGACTCGGTCAGACGCGAAGGCGCTGGGGCTTTGGGCGGCTCGCTTGCGCCTGCAGCGTCCGCGCACACGGCGTGCCTGACAGCCAAATGCTCGCCGTGGGGCCTCCGCAACCACCGCCGCGCTGCGTCGAGCCTGAGCTCGCAGCGCGCGGCGGCTCTCCGACGGCGCGCCCGCTGATGCTAGGCGGGGGGGCGGTTCCTGGGCCACTCGCCTGACATGGCGGCCACGATGCACCAGCACCCGCGGCACGGGCAGCTGGCCGGGTCCAAATGGAAGCGCTCGCCTCTCGCCCTCGCGGGGGACACGGAGCCCAAATGGTAGGCTGAAGAGGAGACGCGAGCAGAGGGAGGAGGAGCAGGAGGAGCAGGACAAGGAGTGGAGTGGAGGGGAGTGGACGCCATCACGATGTGATATTCTGAAACCGAAACTGCCGCCACTCAGAAGACGAAGAACAGGTGGAAGATGTAGAGGAGGACATAATTCCCCATCACCAGAGCTTTCACACAGGACCCCGACTGGCAGCAGTAGCATAAAGTTACCGTGGTTGGAAACAACACGGCCCATTCGGAGAGCAACGGGTTAAGCTGGTATGAATTCAATCCAATAAGGCCCTGCCCGAGCATGAAAGCGCGGAGCATAACTCCAAGCGGCCACCACCTCGAGCATTGTCAGGCAACCCCACCCATCTCGAAAGAATAGGGATTATCTCCTCCACAGCCAGCCTCGCCCCTGCGAACAGAAACGCGCCTCAATAATCACCGAATATGCGAAATTCCACAGCTGCGATGGGGATTTTAAGTGAGCTCGAAGCCCGCGGCACCCCAAATACTGTAAAAGGGGAATTTAAGTGGGCTCGCAGCCCGCGGCACCCCATGCACCATAGAACACACTTGATGAACGAATTCAAGACAAGGTGCAGCAGCCCGAGGAACCAGTCGAAAACCGATTGGACCCGACCTTGCACCTGCACGAACAAGGAGAACGAGTACATGAAATTGAATTAGACCCCCCTTCGTCAACCCTGCTTGAATGCCGGTAGACCAGATTCAACGCGAAGGTGTCCCTCAAGCGCCGCGAGGAGGCGGGAGGCAGAGGAGCGGTGCTACATCCGAGAGCCCAAAGAGGTTGCAACGGCGCGCCGCTCCCCTGTGCTTGAGGGAGCAGGACAAGGAGGAAGAGCAGGAGGAGCGGGAGGAAAAAGAGTTGGTGGAGGAGGAAGAAGACAGCGAGAGAGAGAGAGAGGCGAGGAAGGAGAGGGAGGAGGAGGAGGAGGAGGAGGAGAAGGAGGACCAGTGAGGAGGAGGAGGAGGAGGAGGAGGAGGAGGAGGAGGAGGAGGGGAGGCGGAGGAGGGGGAAGAGGAGGAGGAACACGAGGATGAAAATGAGGAGGAAGAGGAAGACGAGGAGGGGAAAAGGGAGAGAGACAAAGAGAGAGAAGGAGAGATATAAAGAGAGAGAGAGAGAGGCGAAGGAGGTGAGGGAGAAGAGGGAGAGGACGAGGAGGAGAAAGATGACGAGGAGGAGCACGAGGATGAGGATGAGGATGAGAAAGGAGGAGGAAAAAGGAGAGAGGAGAGCGGAGGGAGACGGGAGGAGGGAGGAGGGAGGAGAAGGAGGATGAGCAGGAGGAGAAGGAGGAAACAAGAGGAGGAGAAGGAGAAGGAGGAGGAGCACGAAGAGGAGGAGGAGGAGGAGCACGAAGAGGAGGAGAAGAGAAGAGGAAAGATGCGGGAGGAAGAGGAATGGAAAAATCAGGGGGGAGGAGGAGGGAGGAGGAAAAGGAGGAGGAGGAGCAGGAGGAGGAGGAGGAGCAGGAGGAGGAGGAGGAGCAACGATCTCCGAACGCCCCCCCCTGCGGCTGCATGGACATCGTCCTGGGCCTGCCTGCGTAAACCTGCCCCCGGGATCCCTCCCGGGAGGCCCCGCCCGACCGGCTCTCCGAGGCCCATCCAGCTGCGACGACGACTCGTTGTCGTTGAAGGGGCCCCAGGACACACAAATAAATACACACAGATAAAACTATTCCCCATATTTTTCTATAGTTTCTGGGTTTTTTTCTTCCCCCCCGCTTCCCATATTTTCCTATATTTTCTCGGAATCGACGATTAATTGTGTCTGTGTTGTTTCCCCTCCTGAGTTGTCGTGGCTGGATGCGCCGCGCCGATTTGCCTCCATCGGGGATGGACAGACCCCCCTGTAGTAAAACGTGGTTTAGTGGAAACGGCCTGAGGCCCAAACCTGGCGGGCGCAAGCCTGGAAAATAACGGCCGCGGCGCCCTCTCGAGAGCCGAAAACGGACAAGTCACTAATCGACATGTCACTGTTGGGGGTTCTGTCCGCCCCCGACTCCAGGCGGCCCGTACATAAAAAACAACGAAGAACGCCGGGGAGGGCCGCCGCCGTCTCGACCTGGCTGGTCCTCCACCGAAACCTGCCTCACATCCTCGGCATGCCCGAAGCTGCAGCCTAGCCTCAAGTCGGACATGACCCCCAACAGGCGGATCTTGATAAACAAATCGGGAAATCTTTAACAAAAACAAGCAAAAAAAAAGTGTTTTTTTTTTTTTCGTCCCCAGACTATTGTGCACCATTGTGGACTACTCCTCCTGTCGGGCGTGTCCCCCTACAGGGGGATTTTCTACGAAAAAATAAGCAAATACCTAAAAAAGGCACCCAAAAGGTCAACAAATATTCAAAAAATACTCCCCAGACTATTGCTGGAGTACTTTTGGATTATTTTTGGGGTATGTTTAAATTGTTCGTCGAAAATTCCCCTGTGGAGGGACAGGCCCGACGTAAGCCTGGCCCCCCCTTGGGGCCTGCGGGCTCAGCGCGGTGCCGGCGCTGAGGTCCAGGAGCCCCGCCTGCGACAGCAGGCCCGCCAGGCCCGCGCTGCTGATGCCGACGGCCTCCCCGCGGGGGCAGCAGCGAAGCAACGATCCACGACGACGACGACGACCACGACGACGACGATGACGACGCCGACGACCACGACCACGACAATGACGACCATGACCACGACCACGACCACCACGACAACGACGACCGCCACGACCACGACCACGACCGCGACGACGACGACCACGACGTCGATGACGACCACCACCACCACCACCACCACCACCACCACGACGACGACGACGACGACGACGACGACGACGACGACGGCTGCGACGGCTGAGGATACAGGACGAGAGAAAGAGGAAGGGAGAGGGGCTACCCCTCCTCCTCCTTCTCCTCCTCCTCCTCCTTTTCATCCTCCTCCCTTCCTCCCTCCGTCCTTCTCCAGTTTCCCCCTCGTCTCTCCCTTCTCCTCGCCACCCTGTTCGCCCTCCTCCTCCTCCGCCAACGGAAGGGGAGTCACGGTCACCATGGCCGAGGATCGCCGAAACACGACAAGCGGAGTGGGCGACAGGCAGGTGGCGCCATCGCCGAACAGAAAGAGGAGTGGGCGACGGCCGGAAGGCGTCCACTGGCACCCTCACAGATCGTGGGCCCATGGTCGGCCGCCAGCCGGGATCGGCGAGGTGGCCAGTGGGCCTCCCCCGGAGACCAGGACCAAACATGCCCAGAAGTCTGGATCCGCTGCCCTCGAGCTCAATGAGTCATAAACATTGCCGGAGGTCCGAGAATCGTTTATCCGACCCCCATCCCCAGCGGCGTGGCCTGGCCCCACTTCTGGGCGACCCAAAAGGGGGTCCAGCTGCAAGGGGGTGGTGCAATAGATTTGGGGCAATTGTATTGCAAACGCATTGCGCCGGAGCATTGTATTGCTTTGTATTGCAACGGATGTATTGCACGCGAAAATCCAGCAATACATTTGCGCCCCGGAATGTACTGCACGCCCCAAATGCATTGCAACCCCACAAATCTATTGCACCAAATCTATTGCACCACCCCCTTGTCGCTGGACCCCCTTTTTGGTCAACCCGACCACTGTCCGATTTACCCTTTTAGATGGGGATATAGGCCGTTCCCTCAGGGCTTCGAGGGGTGTATCCCCAACTGGGGTGGTAATTTGGTGGGGGCCTTGAAGGGGATGGGGATGGGGATGGGGATCGGATATACGATACTGAAGGTCCACGCAGATTCCTTGGATCGGCGCTGGACCACCCAGGCGGCGCCGCCAGCGCCGCCCCATGTGCGCTCCGCGCGCCAACGAATTTGGGCCCAGCGCCGATCCGTGAAGTCCGCGCGGACCTGCGAAAGCTCAAAACTGTGTATGCAATCTGCTCTCCTTCGAACTCCGTTCCCGGCAGGGTTACGGGCGAGGGAGAGTGGAGGGCAGAAACTCCGCCCCAATAAGAACCACCCCGACACGCGAAGCCGCTTTTTAAACGTGCCCAGAGAAGGAATCGAACAGGGCAAGGCTGTTTAACAAACGCCCAGAGCCGTCTAATAAACGCCAATTGTCCGGTCCGGGTGGTTTTTCCTTCCTTTTGAGCAGGGGCCGACCGTCCCGGCATTCCTATAGTCCTACCACGAAATGTTCTTAGAACCCAACAATGTTGTAAGAACAAAAACAATTTTCTCAGAACATAAGCCCGATGTGATAAAACAAGACAGTCCCGGACAGAAATGTTCTAAGAACATTTCGAGCAGACCACAGAAGGCTCTTAGCACACTGCTTGGTGGGGCTGTAGGCGAGCCGGGACGCGTCGCCACTGCTTGATCCTTGAGAGAGGCAGAGACACAGCGAGGCTTAGCGGGCATTTGCGCCATCGGGCAGGCAGCCCCGCCCGGGGTGGGGTGGGGGCGCTCGCGCGCGCAGGGCAGGGCTGCATAATAAACACCCAGGGCCGTGTAGTAAACGCCACCTGTCCGGTCCGGGTGGTTTTTCCTTCCTTGCGAGAGGGAGAGGCACAGCGAGGCTTAGCGGGCATCTGCGCCATCGGGCAGGCAGCCCCGCCCAGGGTGGGGGGGGGGGGGGCGCTCGCGCGCGGCCTCTGCTCGCGGCAGGGTCGTTTGTGGAGGGACGGGGCACTGGGGAGAAGGGTCCTGATGGGGGGAGGAGCAAGAGGAGGAGGAGAGGCGGAGGAGGAGGAGGAGGAGGAAGAGGAGGAGGAGGAGGACCTTCGTGTGCCAGGAGTCGAGAGGAGGAGGAGGAGGAGGAGGAGGAAGAGGAGGCGGAGGAGGAGGCGGGAGGCGCAGGAGGCGGAGGCGGCGAGCGGAACGATCCGCGCGGTGCCAGTGCCTATCCATCAGTGCCGCTCACGACCCCTCCCCGGGAGACGGGGCGCGGCCCGCGCGAGGCTGAAGGGCGCCGCGGGCGCGGTGACCGGCACCGCGACGCCGCCGCGCTGCTGCTCGGCGGGCTCCTCGGAGCCGAAGGCGAAGGTCTCCACGAGGCCTGCCGCGGGGCGGGGCGGCCGAGGGCCAGACCCTGCCCTGCCCTCCTCGAAAATCGAGGATCCAGGATCGAGGATCGAGGGCCCTGCCCTGCCCTCCTCGAGGATCCAGCATCGAGGATCGAGGATCGAGGACCCTGCCCTGCCCTCCTCGCGGATCCAGGATCGAGGATCGAGGATCGAGGGCCCTGCCCTGCCCTCCTCGAGGATCCAGGATCGAGGATCGAGGATCGAGGACCCTGCCCTGCCCTCCTCGAGGATCGAGGAGGTCGAGGGTCGAGCCCGCTCTCCCCCGGGGGGGGGGGGGGGCGAGGGCCGAGGGTGGAGCCTGCCCTGCCCTCCTCGAGGGCGGGGACCTGCCGGCCCCCCCCGAGGAGATCGAGGCTCGAGGATCGAGCCCGCCCTGCCAGCATCGAGGCTCGAGCCCTGACTCGGCATCGAGGATCGAGCCTGCCCTCCCCCCTCGAGGACCAGGCCCCGGCTACCACCCTGAGGGGCGATCGAGAAACGAGCCCTCTCTCCTCGGGGATCAAGCCGCTTAATCAAGCCTGCCCTGCTGAGGGGGTGGGAGGGACCAGCTCCCCGGGGGGGAAACCCTGCAGCTTTCGGTCGGGCATGTCCTCCTGCCGGCGGATTGTGGAACAAAAACAAAACATATTCACAGCATAATCAACCATTGCCAAAAGAGCACGAACACTCGCTCAGCACCTGAACATGTTTCTACAAGTCTTGGAGATTCCTCCAGTCGAGGGACATGCCAGACTTAAATCCAGCGCGAATCGGCGACACATCGCCAGCATGTTGGCGATGTGCCCCCGAGAGCGGAGCCGAACAGGGCGGCATGGCCCCTACAGCCAGACCTGCCACCGTTCAAGACATCAAACGCAAGTCTCTAATGTTGGTCGACGCGCGAAACGCGGCTCACGGGGTCAGAGTTTGGTGATTGCAGTGGCCAGTTTCGGCGCGAACTTTGGAACATGCGGGTCCTGGGGCGCCACCACGTCGCGGGGAAAACATGCGCCTGATGTCGAGGGGGAGATGTAGGACTGAAGAGCACACTTCAGGAATATGAAACCCTCAGCCTGCCACGCTGAGGAACCTTCGAGGGTACCCTCCCCCAGGATACACAAGAATATCCATCAAGCACTAGAATCAGGTTGGGCATGTCCTCCTACAGGCGGGCTTCGGAAGAACATGTTAGAATAGCAAAAAAATGCTTGATACATAATTATGGAAAACATAATCAAACGAGCACGAAAACTCGCAACCATACTATTGTTTCGCAATTTCGAATATTCCTCCTGTAGAGGGGCATGCCCGACATACACCTAGGACATAATAGCAACCTTCAAGAACCTGAGACCCTCCGCATGCCAAGCTGAGGAACATTCGAAGGGACCCCTCCCCAGGATACACAAGAACATCCCACAGGCACTGGAACCGTTGGGGCACCCTCCCCGGGCCGACCTCGATCTTATACCTCGGGCCGGCCGTGTTAGCAATCAGGGGTCGGTACTCCCCCCCGAGCCAATCAACCCCTGCGCCACGGTGAGGAACTTCTGCTGAGGGCGCTGCGGCGGCGGTCTCTGCAACACGCTGCGCCGTGGAATCTGACAACGCACCGCTCTGTTTCATGGAACGGAAGGGTGGTTCAAATTCATGGAGCGCAAGGCTGGGACAAGCTTTCCGTGCTGATGCTCGCGGCCTTGGATGTGCTCCGCATGCTGTGCCGAAGCGCGGTGGGCCAGAACAGGCGTCTCGACACGCCGAGCAAGAGCTCCTGATCGCTTCCCTCCTCCTCCTCGCCCTCCCCTCGAAGAGCGAACCTGAGGTAAGATTTGAGCAGGGACCGACCGTCCCGGCATTCCTATAGACCTACCACGAAGTGTTCTTAGAACCAACAAATATCCCAAAAACAAAAACAAAGTTCTCAGAGCGTAAGCCCGATTTGTCAAAACTAGACAGTCCCAGCAACACAACTGTTCTAAGAACATAGTTCCTGGAAGCCACCAAAGTTTCTTTGAACATTGTTTGGTAGGCCTACAGGCACGCCAGGAGGCTTCGCCACTGCTTGACCAGAACAAGCGTCTCGACACGCTGAGCAAAAGCTCCTGACCGCTTCCCTCCTCCTCGCCCTCCCCTCGAAGTGCGAACCCCGGAGGTAGGACGGCAATATCAAAACAGCTCCTGACTGCTCTCTCCGACCGAGCCGCCCGCCGCGGCCGCTAATTTTTCGGGCGTTGGCAGAACTGGGTTTAGTGGAACCTGGTTTAGTGATTTGTACCGGGGGCGCCCCCCCCGTCACATTTCCACTCACTGGAACTGCCCTCACCCGAAAACCACCAGCTACGGCAAACCTGGCTTAGTGAATCTGGCCAATTGAGGGGCCCCGGGGCCCTACCACTAACCGGGTCCCCTTACCCCGGGGGTCCTGGTCATACCCGATTTGTTTTGGGGGGGCGCGCCTGCCTGTGCCCCCAGGGGCGAGCCCCTCCCCGCGCCACCCCCTCGCCTTGCTGCTCTGCCCCTGCCCTCCCCGCCCCTTCCGCCTCCCGCCTCCGCCTCCAGCCGCTCCTCCTCCTCCCCCTCCTCCTCCTCCTCCTCCTCCCTCTCCTCCTCCTCCTCCTCCTCCTCCTCTGCCCCTCCTCCTCCTCCTCCTCCTCCTCCTCCTCCTCCTCCTCCTCCTCCTCCTCCTCCTCCTCCTCTTCCTCTTCCTCTTCCCCCCCCCCTACCCTCGCCTCCCCGGCCCACTCTCCCCCGTGCTCCGGCGGTGGACAAGCCTCCCTTTCGCAAACCACCCTTTTTAGCGAAAACTGCCTAGGACCGAAACCGACGGACCTGGATATGCAAAACTGACGGCCGCAACGCCCTGTCGCGAACCGAAAACGGCCAATTCGCTTATCGACGTGGCAGGGTAGGAGGTCTATCCACTCCCCATGCTCCCCTCTCCTCTCCCTGCCCCCCCGCCCCCATCCCTGTGACAGGATTGTGCCGCGACTGCTGCGGTTCTGGCTGATGACACAACGCGGGTCGTTCAACCCTGATCGATCGCGCCTGGCTTCCCGAAAGCGCGGATCGCTCGACACCGGCCGATTCGGGGCCACTGGCAGCGTTCAACTCTGAATGTACATGGTGGGGTCACCGCCAGCCAACGCGGCGCGAACCTTCTGTGCTATTTTTGTCCAATCCTAATTGGCTGGGTACTCGCTATGAGCACTGCAATCCCATCATCCACTCTCCCGCTCCCTGCACTGGGCAACCACATGTGAATCGTGCCCCTCAGATCAGATTCCTGGAAAATTACGCTACCGAGGAACCCCACATACTTATACTAAGGCTGGAGTGATGATAGCTGAAGTGAAGCATGTGAGAATGATGTTGGTGGCCGTTCCCTGCGCACCCCCTATGGCGTCGAGAAAGCGCCACGCCTGCTACGCCCTGTGCCATGGCCCGCATAGACGCCGCGCTCGGGGACCACCCCCTGCGCACCCCCTATGGTGTCGAGAAAGTGCCACGCCTGCTGTGCCTGGACGACCGTCGTGCATAGCGGCCGAGCTCAGGGACCCCCTGCGCACCCCCTGTGGTGTCGAGAAAGTGCCACGCCTGCTATGCCTGGACGACCGTCGTGCATAGCGGCAACGCTCAGGGACCACCCCCTGCGCACCCCCATGGTGTCGAGAAAGTGCCACGCCTGCTGTGCCTGGACGACCGTCGTGCATAGCGGCCGCGGTGAGAGACCACCCCCTGCGCACCCCCTGTGGTGTCGAGAAAGTGCGACGCCTGCTATGCCTGGACGACCGTCGTGCATAGCGGCCGAGATCAGGGACCACCCCCTGCGCACCCCCTCTGGTGTCGAGAAAGTGCCACGCCTGCTGTGCCTGGACGACCGTCGTGCATAGCGGCCGCGCTCAGGGACCATCCCCTGCGCACCCCCTATGGTGTCGAGAAAGTGCCACGCCTGCAATGCGTGGACGACCGTCGTGCATAGCGGCCGAGCTCAGGGACCATCCCCTGCGCACACCCTGTGGTGTCGAGAAAGTGCCACGCCTGCTATTCGTGGACGACCGTCGTGCATAGCGGCCGAGCTCAGGGACCACCCCCTGCGCACCCCCTGTGGTGTCGAGAAAGTGCCACGCCTGCAGTCGTGCATGGCGGCCGAGCTCAGGGACCACCCCCTGCGCACCCCCTCTGGTGTCGAGACAGTGCCACGCCTGCTGTGCCTGTACGACCGTCGTGCATAGCAGCCGAACTCAGGGACCACCCCCTGCGCACCCCCTCTGGTGTCGAGAAAGTGCCACGCCTGCTATGCCTGGACAACCGTCGTGCATAGCGGCCGAGCTCAGGGACCTGCCCCTGCGCACCCCCTGTGGTGTCGAGAAAGCGCCACGCCTGCTGTGCCTGGACGACCGTCGTGCATAGCGGCCGCGCTCAGGGACCACACCCTGCGCACCCCCTGTGGTGTCGAGAAAGTGCCACGCCTGCTGTGCCTGGACGACCGTCGTGCATAGCGGCAACGCTCAGGGACCACCCCTCTGCGCACCCCCTGTGGTGTCGAGAAAGTGCCACGCCTGCTGTGCCTGGACGACCGTCGTGCATAGCAGCCGAGCTCAGGGATAACCCCCTGCGCACCTCCTGTGGTGTCGAGAAAGTGCCACGCCTGCTATGCTTGGACGACCGTCGTGCATAGCGGCCGCGCTCAGAGACCACCCCCTGCGCACCCCCTGTGGTATCGAGAATGTGCCACGCCTGCTATGCCTGGAGAAGGAAAAGGGGAGGGGGGAGGTGAGACGCGGGTGCGGCGCGGCAGGGAATAAAACCAGAACCCCACGAAACATGTGGGGAAATAGCCGGGGTTCGGAATCTGACGGCTGTCTTCAACCAGGTAAGCCCTGGCGAGACGTCCTGTCCTAGAGGCAGACTGGATTTCAGAAACATAAGCTTTCCGAAGTCCTTGCGGATGTCTCGGATCGGCGCCTCTGGCGCCGATCCAATAACGAAGTACGCGCACAACCTTCCGGAATCCCGCGCGAACCCCACTGCCAGCAACTCCGGCGCCGCCCCTGGCGCTCCGCGCGCCGAGGAGGAGGGGCCGGCGCCGATCCGAGAGATCCTCGCGGGCATCCGAAAGCATCTGTTTGTGAAACTGTGCATTTTTTCTCTTCGTTCACGTGAGGGCCAAGGGGCCCTGCTGTCAAACTCGTAGCACGGGTGAGCAGCCTCCCGAGGTGGCCTGGCGGTGTCCGCAAAGGGGCGGAGCGAGGGGCGCGCGGAGCGTGCCAGCGGCGGCGCCGGAACCGCCACGGGGTGCCCCACCCACGTCGACCCAAGAGATCCGCGCAGGCCTCTGAACTAGGGCTCCCAACTTCGCGCTTCGCGCTCCGCGAAGCGCGAATAACTTCGCGCCCTCGCGCCGCCCCCCCAAAGGGAGAAAAGGAGGACGAGGAGGAGGGGGAGAAGGAACGAGGACCGCGAAGCGCGAAGCGCGAATAATTTCGCGCCCTCGTGGGAGCCCTTGCTGAACATGTATCTCTGAGCGGTCTTGTGCTTCTGCAGTGCGTGCGACCAAACTGCCAAGCGACAGTTCGGGTGACCCAAACGGGGGTCCAGCTGCAAGGGAGTGGTGCAACAGATTTGGGACAAGCGCATTGCAAATGTATTGCGCCGGAGACTTGTATTGCACTGTATTGCAACTAATGCATTGCACGCGAAAATCCAGCAATACATTGGCGCCCCGGAATGTATTGCACGCCCCAGATGTATTGCAACCCCACAAATCTAGTGCACCAAATCTATTGCACCACCCCCTTGTCGCTGGACCCCCTTTTGGGTCAACCCGAGACAATCGCATTCATCCTATTAGGTAATCGCTCTGGCCCCTAAGCGGCTCGGCGCGGCAAGAACTCGCTGTAGACGCGGAAAGGAGTCCCACTATGAGATCGCTGTCTGGCGGAAGTCAGCACAACCAACGTCAAACTGCGTTCTCCGGCACATCGGGCCTGTGAAAGCCAACACCCGCCGCCGAGACTCCCAAGGAGAGCCCACTGTACACTCGACCAAGATAGTAAGGATGCGCGGTAAGGGTGCAAGGGCCTTGGAACGCCATGTTGACATTTTCCTTGCGGGGCGCAGCAGAATGCCGAAGGCTGCCGAATACCCGAGGGCCAAGGACGCAAGGGTAGTCTTGGAGAGTTGCCACATCCTCACTATCATGGTTGACTGTGAGGCAATGTGTTTGAGCTCCTCTTCCTCTCCCTCCTACCCCTCCTTTTCCGACGATGTTGGTTTTCAAGATGGTATGTTGTTAGTGTTGGTAGGGTGAGAAAGGGCAAAGTGTCCAGACTGCGTGGTCAGTTCGTGCTGCTTGCTCCTGCATTTCACCTATCTCTTTTCTTAGCGGACCTGCCTCCTCGTCGTCAGGCCAATCCAGCCTCCGTCTTCCTCCCCCTCCTCCGTCTTCCTCCCCCTCCTTCTTCTGTCCTCCTCCTCCTCCTCCTCCTCTTACAATTCCTCCTCCTCCTCCTCCTCCTCATCATCATCCTCCAACACCTCCTCATTCCCCTCCTCCTCGTTCCCCTCCTCCTCCCCCTCCTCCTCCTCCTCCTCCTCATTCTTCCATATCCCTCGCACTTCCTCCTTGCCCCACAGAGTGGGAGGGGGCCACAAGGGGGGGGGGGGGACTGCCCGAGGGGGCCAAAACAATCGCTTGGAATCGACGATACACGTCGCCCACGCCGAGAGCGGTCGGCGCTATAGGCCGCTCCCGACGGGGGAAGCCTAACAAACACAGCGCGCCCTTCCTGGGCAGGCTGCACCGGGGCCCCGAAGGGCGCGCAGAATGGGCGATGTGGGAGGAGGATGAGGAGGAGGAGGAGGAGGAGGAGGAGGAGGAGGAGGAGGAGGAGGAGGAGGAGGAAGGGAGGAGGAGGAGGAGGAGGAGGAGGAGGAGAGAGGAGGAGGACGAGGAGGAGGAGGAGGAGGACGGAGTGGGGGGGCGAGGAGGAGGAGGAGGAGGAGGAGGAGGAGGAGGAGGAGGGAGGGGGGGGGGGGGGGCGAGGAGGGAGCCTCCTCCCCCCCAAATCTTGATCGGCGCGGGGCCCCTGCATGGGTCCTGCCGCAAGTGTGCGGGGGGGGGGGCGGGTCGCCTCCCCCGACGAGCACGTGGCGCAGCGGGGACTTCAGCGTGCCCGTGGCGGGGTAGTAGGACACGGTCGAGTTGCCCGGGTAGAATGGGATACCTGCCCCGCCCGTCGCCTCTGCCGCTCTGCGTGAGACACGCACCTGCTCTGCCGTACCCGAGCTGCTCCTCGGACAAGCCAGCCCAACCCAACACGTCACGAGATGCTGTGACCGTCCGCGGCATCGCCCCCTCCTCCTCCTCCGCCCCCTCCTCCTCCTCCTCCCCCTCCTCCTCCTCTTCCTCCTGTGCTCCACTTCCCTGCATTGTGCTCCTCTGTAGTCCTCCTCACGATCCTACCACTTTTGAAAAGAAAACGAGCACTCCTACTCGATGGATCGACGCTGGACTTCCCCGGGGCGCTTCGCGCGCCAAGGCGGTCCAAGCACCGATCCGACATATATCCGCGCGGACCTATGACATGTATATGTTTGTGCAGCTGCTCTTCTTCGAATGTCCCTTCTCATCCTCCCCCCTCCCCCTTCAATCCATTCGGGGATGGACAGACCTCCCTTTAGTAAAACGTGGTTCAGGGAAAACGACCTGGGGCCCAAACCTGGCGGGCGCCAGCCTGGAAAGTAACGGCCGCGGCGCCCTCTCGAGAACCGAAAACGGACAATTCACTAATCGACGTGTCACTGTTGGGGGTTCTGTCCACCCCCTGTTTCCCTGTTCCCTCTGGAGGGCGCCTGAAGTTCCCCGGCGTCGTCCGCGTCGTCGTCGGCGAGTCGGTCAGTTGGGCAGGCGGGACACGTCGTCGTCATCGTCGCCGTCGCCGTCGCCGTCGTGGTCCAGACCTCGGCGTCGTTGGTTGCCAGCGCTTGGGGAGGTTCAAACCCTTTATTCAACTTCTTGGGCGGGTGGTCGTTCCGCCCCTAGAGACTTTCCTTAAGTCGGGCCTGTCCTCCCAGAGGGGGATTTTGGACGAAAAATACAGAATTATCAACAAATGCTCTAAAATGGTCAAAAAATGAAGAAGTCGTCTCCATACGATGTTTTGACTATTTGTGAAGATTCCCCCCTGTAGAGGGACAAACCCGATGTAACCCTAGGGACGTTCGCTTTGGAGAGGGGGAAGAGAGGGGGGTGGGACCCCCCAACCTGTCCTTCGATCAGCGAGCGAAAAACGGTATAAAATTATCCTGGCGAAGGACCCAACCATATGCAGTTGTGAGTATCGCAATTGTGAGTATCTTCTTCGGTGGCGCTCCCTATGGGGCCACGAACCGCATGAGGGGTGTGCCGAAATGTGGCGGGGTACACAACGCAAAGGAATACGATAGATCTGATTACGAAAGAAAGAACGCGGGTGAGTCAGAACGCGAGGGCATCTGAGTATGAATGGGTCTGCGCGCGAATGAATATATTTGCATGACTGCGATCATGGAAGCGCCTAGTGCAAGTGTATATGAATGTGAATGGTTCGAGCATGCCTGTCCGAACACACGTGGCGCTGGGCGTGGCCGCCGCAGGCAGCTTCCGCGGGAACCCCGACGGCAGCTTCCGCGCGTCGCGACGCCCATGTCGGCACGCCTCTTGCGAGGATCGCGCCCGCTTTCGGCTCTTCTTTTCCTTCCTCTTTGCCCGCGCACTCCAAAATCCAAGGCTGCGGGCGCAGCGCAGCGCGGAGTCCCCGCGACGCGCGCTGGTCGCCCCGGGCGGGGCCCCAGCGACGCGCGCGGGTCGTCCGCTGCGCGAAGCAGAGAGAGCTGACTAGCTAACTGGCTGGCTGATAGCGGGCAAGTCTCTGACCGCTGGGCAGAGCGACGACGGGCGAACGAGGCGCCGGGCCCCCCGCAGCACGGAGTTCCCGCGACGCGCGCTGGTCGCCCCGAGAGGGTCCCAGCGACGCGCGCGGGTCGTCCGCGGCGCGAGGCCAAACAATTAGTCGGGCAGTCGAGAGAAGGCGCGGCTCGGGGGAGACGCTCCTCAGGTCAGGCCTCGCGGATGAACTCGGTGAAGCCGAGCTCCCTGGCGAGGGCCGTCGCTTCCCTCCTGCACCGCTTCGTGCGCGCAGCAAACTGCTCCAGCTGCTTCCGCAAGCCCTGCGGCGGCCCTGCCAGGAAGAACTCGATGCGCGGCGCCCGCATGAGCAGGAGGTCCTCGTGGCGCGTGGCGCGCGAGAGCAGCACGTAGAGCTCCAGCCACCAGTCGTCGTCCTCCTTCTTGCCGTTCCCTACCTCGTGGCGGCCGCAATCCAGGATCACGCCTGGGCGACGTCGACCGAGGGAGCAGCGCGCCGGGCAGCCGACGGCCCAGGGCGAGAGTCCACAGGACCGAGAGATGGTCTGGCCGCGGACTGCTCGCGCCCGGAGGTCTGGCCGCCCCCGGAGCGCCGTTTCTCCGCCCCGTCGCCTTCGCGCATGGTGCGCCCCTGGCACGCCACCGTGGTGATGACCCTGCCGTGCGAGAAATGCGGGGGGGGTGCCGAAATGGGTGGGGGTGACGCATGCGGGCGGCGGCACTGAGGCCTTCGGTGGAGCTCCCTATGGAGCCACGAAACGTGTGAGGGGTGTGCCGAAATGGGTGTGGGTGACGCATGCGGCCGCGGGCACTGGGGCCTTCGGTGGAGCTCCCTATGGAGCCACGAAACGTGTGAGGGGTGTGCCGAAATGGGTGTGGGTGACGCATGCGGCCGCGGGCACTGGGGCCTTCGGTGGAGCTCCCTATGGAGCCACGAAACGTGTGAGGGGTGTGCCGAAATGGGTGTGGGTGACGCATGCGGCCGCGGGCACTGGGGCCTTCGGTGGAGCTCCCTATGGAGCCACGAAACGTGTGAGGGGTGTGCCGAAATGGGTGTGGGTGACGCATGCGGCCGCGGGCACTGGGGCCTTCGGTGGAGCTCCCTATGGAGCCACGAAACGTGTGAGGGGTGTGCCGAAATGGGTGTGGGTGACGCATGCGGCCGCGGGCACTGGGGCCTTCGGTGGAGCTCCCTATGGAGCCACGAAACGTGTGAGGGGTGTGCCGAAATGGGTGTGGGTGACGCATGCGGCCGCGGGCACTGGGGCCTTCGGTGGAGCTCCCTATGGAGCCACGAAACGTGTGAGGGGTGTGCCGAAATGGGTGTGGGTGACGCATGCGGGCGCGGGCACTGGGGCCTTCGGTGGAGCTCCCTATGGAGCCACGAAACGTGTGAGGGGTGTGCCGAAATGGGTGTGGGTGACGCATGCGGCCGCGGGCACTGGGGCCTTCGGTGGAGCTCCCTATGGAGCCACGAAACGTGTGAGGGGTGTGCCGAAATGGGTGTGGGTGACGCATGCGGCCGCGGGCACTGGGGCCTTCGGTGGAGCTCCCTATGGAGCCACGAAACGTGTGAGGGGTGTGCCGAAATGGGTGTGGGTGACGCATGCGGGCGCGGGCACTGGGGCCTTCGGTGGAGCTCCCTATGGAGCCACGAAACGTGTGAGGGGTGTGCCGAAATGGGTGTGGGTGACGCATGCGGGCGCGGGCACTGGGGCCTTCGGTGGAGCTCCCTATGGAGCCACGAAACGTGTGAGGGGTGTGCCGAAATGGGTGTGGGTGACGCATGCGGCCGCGGGCACTGGGGCCTTCGGTGGAGCTCCCTATGGAGCCACGAAACGTGTGAGGGGTGTGCCGAAATGGGTGTGGGGGACGCATGCGGCCGCGGGCACTGGGGCCTTCGGTGGAGCTCCCTATGGAGCCACGAAACGTGTGAGGGGTGTGCCGAAATGGGTGTGGGTGACGCATGCGGCCGCGGGCACTGGGGCCTTCGGTGGAGCTCCCTATGGAGCCACGAAACGTGTGAGGGGTGTGCCGAAATGGGTGTGGGTGACGCATGCGGCCGCGGGCACTGGGGCCTTCGGTGGAGCTCCCTATGGAGCCACGAAACGTGTGAGGGGTGTGCCGAAATGGGTGTGGGTGACGCATGCGGCCGCGGGCACTGGGGCCTTCGGTGGAGCTCCCTATGGAGCCACGAAACGTGTGAGGGGTGTGCCGAAATGGGTGTGGGTGACGCATGCGGCCGCGGGCACTGGGGCCTTCGGTGGAGCTCCCTATGGAGCCACGAAACGTGTGAGGGGTGTGCCGAAATGGGTGTGGGTGACGCATGCGGCGCGGGCACTGGGGCCTTCGGTGGAGCTCCCTATGGAGCCACGAAACGTGTGAGGGGTGTGCCGAAATGGGTGTGGGTGACGCATGCGGCCGCGGGCACTGGGGCCTTCGGTGGAGCTCCCTATGGAGCCACGAAACGTGTGAGGGGTGTGCCGAATGATGATGATGATGATGATGATGATGATGATGATGATGATGATGATGATGATGATGATGATGATGATGATGATGATGATGATGATGATGATGATGATGATGATGGGAGGGGGAAGGAAGGAGAACGCGGGGCACCGTCTCTTCAAAACGAGGACCCAACACCACAGGATGGTTGGGAATAAACTTTTTCGCCGTCGGGGGCACCTGCCCCTGAGCGGCTGGACAGTTTATACCCCTACGGTGCCACCGCAAGGGTATAAACTTTCCAGCCGCCCTGGGGCAGGTGTCCCCGACGGCGAAACAAATTATGCTAAACCGCTCTTCGCCCGTTAATTTGAGGGGGGGGACACCCTGACATCCTCCCAACGTCCGGCAGGCGCGCGTCGTGCCGACGGCGGCGCCGGTGTCTCATACCGCGGACACCGCTCAGCCTGGAAGGCTCGGCCGCTTCCGACACGTCGGATTCCGAGTCGCCTGCGGCGTTCCACGTCGAGAGCCAGCGGCAGGAGGAGGAGGAGGAGGAGGAGGAGGAGGAGGAGGAGGCGGAGGAGGAGGAGGAGGAGGAGGAGGAGGAGGAGGGTCGCCGCTGGTCGACACGACCCGAAGCTGCCGTGCTCAAAGACGCCCTTTCGGATGACTCGAACCACCGGATGTCGGGATCCCCTCAAAATCGGCCTCGGCGCACCCCACGGAGCTCGTTCTGGCAAGGACTGCAGGGCGGACGGGGCTGTGGCGACGAGGGCCTCCCGCGGGCCCTGAAGAAAAAAAAAATGAACGTGTGATGAGGGACCTCCCATCCTGCCTTCCTGGGTATCTCCCGGCCGCGCGCACGGTGCACGGGGACACAGATAAACCATGGAAGTAGCGCGCCCGAGAAAAGTCCTGCCGTGGGTCGAAACATGCTCCGTTCCTCGTTCTCTCCCGCTGGACCTTGCAAAGTCCTGGTTTGCAATTTCCTGGTTCTGACAGGAATCCACGCGGGACTCCAAAGGGGGGGAACACTGGCCTAGAATCGACGATACATCTCCGATGGACCGGCGATGGGCGCTCGTCGAGGAAACCCAGCGTTCCTGGGCACTGGCAGGATGGGGCACCCTGGCCCCGATTGGCGGTGGACGGCCGATTGGGGGCCGATGCTTTCCCCTCATGGGCCAGTCCCAGTTTTATCCAGATCCACCGACGGAGGGACCGATGAAGTGGGACCTCAAGCGGCGGCCGATATTGATACATCTGGGCCCCAGGAGGGGTCCGAATACGTTCATAAGCCGTAACGATCCACCGCGGCCCCAAGTCCAGGATGATCGGTTCCCCAGGCGGTGGCCACGGAAAATTCATCCCAGCCTCGGACATCCCGTCCTGCAGTTGCCTCTGAGGGGCCCGAGGGCGAAAATGAGAAGGCGCAAGCCTTCTCCCAAGGCCACGGGAATTCTCAGAAACCCACTGGCCATCTGAGAAACTTCCCCCTTTTTCGGACAAGGCCTTGAACAACCTCTCGGAAGGCCGGAGGCTTTCCGAGCCTTCTGCGAAGGCCCGCCTTTTCTCACTTCCCCCTTTGGTTCGCCGCCGAACCTCTAGCCCCCCCCGCTCCGGTGAAGTCGGGGGACATCTGCAGCGAGGCCGCGCTGTCCTCGAGCGGATGGCAGTGGGGGGGGGGGATCGCAATGGGGGGTGAAGAAGAAGCCCGTGAAAAGAGTACCCTACGCCCCTTTCTGGAGCCAACGGGGGCCCAAAAGGGGCCCCAAAGTGCCCCTTCGAGGCCCTCTCTGCACCTCCCATGCAAGTCACCCCCCACTACCACCCGCCCGCTTTCCTCCGATGCCTTGTAGCCGTCTGGCGCCTCCGCGACGCCGCCCATGACGAAGACCCGCGGGCGGCCTCGAGCTCCCCCCCCCTCCCTCCTCCCCCCTTTCCCCTCCTGCCTCCCCCCCCCTTCCCCTCCCATTTCCTCCCCAGTTCCCCTCCCTCCTCCACATCCTCGTCCCCTTTTCCTGCTCGTCCTCCTCTTCTTCCTCCTCCTCCTCCTCGTCCTCGTCGTCGTTCTCATCCTCCTCCTCCGAGTCCTCCGCTTACTCTTCCCCCTCTTCCTCCTCCTCTTCTTCTGGGCGCTGCCAAGCCTTCCGTCGACGTCCTCGAAGATGACGCTGGGGCTGCGCCATCCTGGCCCAGCAGGCCGCCGGAGGTCCGGTGGCAGCCGACCTCTTGGGGCGCTGTCGAAGACGGCCGCCCTTAAAGCGTGGGCCGGTGCCGCGGGCGTCGAATCGGGACGGTGCTGGTAGCGGCAATTGTCGCCAAGCTGCTGGTGCGCCGCCGGCGGGGAGTCGGCCCAACGCTGGTTAAGCGGGCGTCTGGGAAGAGGTCGGGCTGAGGCCAGTGGCGGTGATGGTCGTGCTTGTGTTCAGTATTCGCAAGCTGCTGGCACCTGTTATAAACAGGGCCGTTTTAATACACATGATGTATCAAAGTATAGGTTTGTTTTTAACACATGACTGATTTATGAACAAATTTATACACGAAACCATCGTTGTTCTTAATGCTAAACCCTGCATTATTAATACGTGATCCGCACGCGGAGCATGTATAAAAAACGGCACTGTAATGGTCGTGATGGTCGTGCTTGCGGTCGGTTTTCGCAAGTTGCTGGCACCTGTTTTCTACGGGCAGTGCTGGGGGCGTTCGTGCTGGCATTGGGCGCCGTGGCTTCTGTCGCTCTCGCGAGGCACGCGTCGCGGGTCGCTGGTCGTCGAACTTAGCGCCGTCGCTCAGGGTGGCATTGTCGCCATCTGCGTCGAAGAACGCGTATTCGGTGCCGTCGAACTGGTTGGCGTGAGCGCCCCGTGCGCATTGGGCTGGCCAGTCGCAGGCCTTCGCGTGGGAATAGACATGCACTCGGCTGTCGTATGCTGGCCTCGGTGTCGAAGTATATGAATTGCAAAACTGCGACGTGTGCGTGCCAGAATGGCAAGTCGTCTGCTGCCTGCTCGCAGGGGGGGTCGGTCGGATCGCGGCGGCGCATCTCCCGTCGCCCTCGCTGGCCCCGCTCGCGGGGGCGCGGGGCACTCAAGTGTCGCCCTCTTGTGCTGGCAAGCGGCTCCTGTGCTGGCTGGCAAGCTGCGCCCCATCCCAGCGTCGGTGGGTTGTTGCTGCTCCTCGTCGAGCTTGCTGGTTGGAAGGGCCCTCTCCCGTCCAGCGTCGGTTGCTGTCGGGTGGCCGCTATAGTAGCTCTCCCAATCCACTGTCTTCGATCCCCATGCTTGCGAGTGTCGCCATCGCTCACGTGCGCCCGCTGTCTTGTGTTGGGGTACGTTCTTCGCGTGGGCTTTGCTTGCGGGGGCGCCGGCGACGCCCGTCGCGTCGGCCCCTGGCCACCTTGGCGCGGGCCCCCCCCCGCGAGCTGTCGCCGCGGGGGCGTGCTCTAGTGGTTGCTGCGCCAGCGGGGGATGGTTGAGTTCGTCGCCGCTCGATTGCCCATGTGCCGCTGGGCGGCGTGCCTCCCGCAAGAGAGCACCACGCGCACTACTAGGTGGTTGCTATGCCGTGAAACTGCGGGGCTGGAAATTACGCGCGGGTGTCTAGAGCCAGCAAGGAACTCGCCTTTGCGAGCAAGACTTCGCTCGGCGGCAACGCTGCGCGAACTGGCGCCGTTGGTCGTCGCGTCGTCCTTCATCGGTCTGCTGGCGTCGCGTGGCTTCATCGCTGGGCAAGCCCCCCCCCCCCCCCCCGGATGCTGAGCTCCGCCTCATTTTTGAGCCAGGCTCTTCCAGGGCCCCTGCGTCGTCGAGGAAGGTCGGGCGTCTGCCGCCTGAGCCGCCGAAGCCGTCGCAGATGCGCACCTTCTTGCCGTTCGAGATGGCGCGGTGCTGCTGGCGGTCAGTCTCCTTCAGCGCTGTCCGCAGCGTTGGTGCTGACCTCGAGCGCTCGGGCTTCGCGATGTGTAAACGTGGCGGCGGCCCGAGGGGAGCGCGCGGCTGCGGCCGCGAGATGTCGCGAAGCGCCGCGCGCCTTGGCCCGGTGGGTTATGTTTGCTCGTCGTCGCAGAAGTCGGTCAATAGCGCTGTCGTCGGCAACGCCTTCGCCTGGTTGCTGCAGTCGCTTCTCGTTTCAAGCGGGGCCGCCATCGATCGTGCTTCTGGGGGCCACTGCTGGCCGGCGACCTGAATTGGCATGGACGGCTGGTCGGGATTGCTGGTGGTGCTGCCTTGCGGGAATCGATGGTTGCGTTGGCTTTCTGCTGGTGGCTCTGGCCCGCTGGCGGCGCTGGCTTGCTGGTGGAGCGGCTGTGGCGTTGCCGGCGGAGTTGGCCCGATATTGGTCACGCTTGCTGGTTGTCGGGCTCGACGCAGGGCTGGCTCGCTGCATTGGCGCGACGGGTAATTTTCCACCGGGGCCCCCTCGCGAGTCGGAGTCCTCGTCGTCTTCGGGCGCTGGCGCCGCAGTCGAGCCGTCGCCTCTTCGCGGGGCGTCGAGAAATATGAAGGCTTCCCTGAGAATAGGGGCTGCAATCGGCGCGGGGCATCCCGCCGCGGGCATCGGCCTCGAGACCGGGAGCGCCGAGGTCCTGCGAGCTCCGAGCGTCGCTGTCGGAGGTGCCCCCATTGTTGGCGGTATTATGGCTGGCTGTCGCGCTGCCGCGGGGCTGCTCATGGCGCGGTTCGACATCTTCGGCTGGCCCTCGAACTGCCTTAGCGCAGCGCCGCGAGGGCGGCCCTGCATTTCCCGTTGCGCAAGCTCTTCTCCGCATTCGGCGAGGCGCTGGTCTCGTTGATCTCGTCCTTTTCATCGTGGAGCTTATGGGCCAGCTCACATAGTGCGTCACCGTCGTGATCGATCTTCGCCTGCTTTACTTGATGAAGTGCTCCTTCGACCTTTTGATGTCTTTGCTGATTTTGAACTTCGCTCTGCTGCGCTGCGTGGAGTTGCTCAAGCTGTTGACGTTGGTGCTGGATATGCATCTGCGGCATTTGCACGAGGGCCTGCGTCTGCCCCTCGGGTCGACATGCTTCGGCCTCCTCGCAGTGAAGACGCCGGCGCCAGTTGAACTGCGCCTGCATCTCGCCGCACTGGCAGAATATCTGCTCCTGGACGCAGCTTTGGCGTTCACCTCTGAGTGCCTCCCGCATGTCAGTCGTCTCCTGGACGTTCTCGGTCCTTCCCTCCTGGGCCTTCGCCCTCTGGCTGGGCCTCCTGCCCGCGCTGGTGTTACAAATTCCCCTTCTCCGTTTCCATTGCCCCCTGGCTTTGTTTTTCTTTACCTGGCAATGCTGGGCATCGCCCCTTTGCACCTGAGCGGCCCGCTCGCAGAGCGGGTGCTCGTATGCCCTGTGGGCTTACGCGTGCTTGGCGGTCTTTTTGTTCAAGAAAAATGCCATCGCAGTGAATCGCTTCGAGGCTCCTCATCTTCTCCTTGTGGAGCACGTGGTTGATTTGTTGGAGTCCTCCCATCGTTGGTGGATTCGTTCCTTTTTCTTCCTCTGGTAGGTATCGTGGTCGACGCAGTGTTCGCCCGTGTTTGCGAAATTCGTCGGGGCCCCGATGCTGCGGCGCATCTCCTGGAGCATACTTGTCGGCCGTTCTGTGGTCCAAGCTCATCTCGCTCCGGCACCTCTCGTGCATTCTGGCCTCCGCTTGCTCGATCGTCTGCGTTTCTTCGGCATTCGCCTTCTCGTGCTCGAACTCGCGCATGCCCAATTGCTCTCTTAGCTCAGACGACGTGGATCGCAAATGTTTGGCAGCAGTCTCCCCCTCAAGCAGCATGATGCTCTTTTTTTGTTTCGTGGAAACCCTTCAACATCTGCTACGCGTCGTTCATGCGGTGCTTTTTTATATGCATCGTTATTTTTCTCTGCGTTCCTTCTTCGTGCAAGTATGCCAGGCTCCGCTGATGTACTCGGTGCGGGCCTGCTGTTGGTCAGGTCGCTGGCTTATCTGGTCAATGGGCTGGTTGATGTCGCCAGCGTTGCTGCTGCTTCGATGATGCGGAGTGGCGGCCCGTCTCTGTGCATCTTTAGGTCCCGGTTGCATTGGGCTGGTGGTC